CATTTGTGGGATAATAAACCCACATTTAAATGGTGGTAAAAGATATTTGATCACCATTATTGATGATTTTCAAAGCAAAACATGCATGTATTTTTCAAAAAAAAATCTAAAGCATTTGTTGTATTTAAAATTTTTGAAGTATTCATTGAGAAAGAAGTTGATAGCTAAAATAAAGAATTTCGCATTAATCATGGTGGTGAAGAATACAACTCATATGAATTCACATATTTTTGTGGAATCAAGAGGTAACTTACAGAGACCTACATGCCTCAACAAAATGGAGTACGCAAGAGGAAGAATGGCACAGTTATGAACATGGTGTGCAATCTTTTGACAAAGAGTGGTGTTTGAAAAAAAATTTGGCCTAAAGCTGTAAAATGGAACATTCATACTTTGAATAGAAATCCTACACTAGTTGTTCAAAATATGACACCAAAGGAGCAGACTAAAAACAACAATAGATCAATTTTGAATTTTTAGGTGTGTTGCCTATGCCCACTTTCCATATCAAAAGAAAACAAAGCTAGACAAGAAAGGAGAAAAATGTATCTTGTTTTGGTATTAGTGAACAATCAAAATCTTACAAATTGTATAATCCAATCACCAAGAAAATGTTCATTAGTCGTGATGTGATTTTTGATGAAGAGTATTTTTGGATTTGGAATAAAAATGAAGTTCAACAACGCATACAAGCTGATTTGACAGATACAATAGATAAGAAAGGCAACAACCCTTGGAGAATGCACAACTTGCAACAAATGAGCAACAACTACTGATATCGAAGATGAGCGACCTCAACGAATAAAAAGGAAACTTGCATGGATGATAGATTATAAAGTTACAAGAATTGAACAAGGTGATGATCCACTTACTCAATTTGCTCTATTTTCAAATTGTAATCCTATAACCTTTGAAGAATATGGTAAGGAATAAAAATGAAGAGACAATATGGCTATCGAGATTGCTTCTATTGAGAGAAACAACACTTGGGAGTTAATCCAGCTTCTAAATGGGCCTTTAAAAAATTTAGAATCGACTACAAAGAAGTCTTTGCTCCAGTGGCGAGGCATGATACAATCTTGTGGGTGATTTCTTTAACAGCTTAAAATTTATGGTCTAATTTTCAATTGAATGTCAAATTGACGTTCTTGTATGAGAATTTGAAAGAAGAGAATATTAATTGAACAACCTCCTAGATTTAGAAAAATTGGAAATGAGCATAAAGTATATAGACTAAAAAAAACTTTATATGGATTAAAGCAAACTCCAAGAACTTGGTATAGTCTACTTGAAGCTTATGTTTTGAAAGAAAGATTTCTGAAATGTCTTTACGAGTACACATTATTTATCAAAACTGGTGATGATGGAAAAATGCTTACTGTTTATGTGTTTGTGGATCATCATATTATTTTTACTAAGAATGATGCTACCATGATTCACAAATTTATGAAGTCCATGATGATTGAATTTGATATGATTGATCTAGGTATGTTGCATTATATTTTGGGCATTGAAGTTGTGTAAACTGCTACTAGAATCTTTAGTTCTCAAAAGAAATATGTGCAAGAAATTTTAGATAGGTTTCATATGAAGAACTACAATTAACACACTAACTAAGTGTCGTTTGAAACTGACCAAAGATCATGGAGGAAAAATGGTTAACAACACACTTTACAATCAAATTGTAGAAAGTTTAATGTACTTGACAACACAAGGCCTGATGTTGTGTATATTGTATGTCAAATTAGCATATATGTGGATACTTTGATAGAGATGCATCTTCTAGCTGCCAAAAGAATCTTCTAATACTTGCAAGGTACTGCAAATTTTGGACTATTCTACAAAATGGGACTAAAGATAGATTTAGTTGGCTTCACAAATAGTGATTTTGCTAGTGATCAAGATGATAGAAAAAGTACTTTCAAGTATGTTTTATGTTGAGTTCAGGAGTTGTTTTATGGTCTTCGAAGAAGTAGCCAATTATCACTTTATCAAGTTGAATATGTTGCTGCAACTTCGTATGCTTGTCAAGCAATATGGTTGAAGAATATCCTTGAAGATCTTCACTTTAAAAGGCATGGCCTATTACAATTTTATGTGATAATAATTTTACGACAGTTACTTCATGGAAGTGAGCTAATAAGGAGGATCTCATTGGGTCTTATTTACCATCAATACGTTGGAAGAGATAATCTATTAGTTAGATATTATGCATGTTAATCCTGGATCAGGATCCCCATATTTTTGCTGTGAAACATGACTCTTATGTTAATTTATTTTTATTTTTTTCTTAAGCAAAATTTTGTTCGCTTAAACAAAAATTCAAAATACTTAACAATGTAACATGAAGGGATCCGTTTCCGTTAATCCTAAAGATCATCCACAAATAACATACGTATTTAATGGTATGAATGATAATTAATCTTTGTACATATTTTGCGATAAGTGTAATATATATATATATATATATATATATATATATATATATATATATATATATATATATATATATATATATATGGTCTTTTCGATCCTTTTTTTCAGTATGATTTATACTTACCATGCACTTCAAAGAGTTAAAGAACCAAAATCAAATGTCAAAATTAGATGGTTAAGGAATGGTATGTCTAGAACCTAACTTTACTTTTATTTACATTAAACATTAAGTTCATTTTGTGTTTAATTTTATATGTAGTGTCCTCAACAACCAAATGGCATAGACTATTATGTGCTCAGATTTAATAAGGAAATTCTACGTTAAAGAAAACTAGGATTGTAAAGACAGTGTAAAATTAATCTCTTCAATGTATCTTTCTTTACAAATTTTATAATTGTTTTGCTAATTTATATTCTAATGAGTTAACTTGTAGCATTTCTCTTAAGTACTGATTTACCAACAACACGAATAAGCAACTTGATGAAATCACAGAAGAGATGTACACATATCTTTTTAATAACTTAGATTCAATAACTTTACTATCCATATTAATTTCGTAAGTTGATGGATATATATCTGTTTGAGACTTCAATAATATTCATGTTTGCTGTAGATGATGGTATATGGTCTTATATAATTATTGTTATTTGTTTCTTCATTTAAAGCGTTATATTTAGGCTTTTTTTATTTGAATAATATTTTTTTAAAATAAATTACTAAATTATAACTTTTTTAAAACTATTTTTTTTGTCTGCAGTGATTTTAATCATGTGTCATATGTTTATTTTAAAAAATAAATTTTGTCACTAAAAATGTGAAATTATGATTTTTTTAAAAATAAATTTCATCATAAAAAATGTAAAACTTGTAAAATTTTTGCATGTGTCAAACTATTATAAATTTTGTAATTACAATAATATTATTTATTTAAAAGAATGAAAAAAATTTCATCAAAAGAATGGCGAAACTATTTATTAAAAAAAAAATTTAACGTTACAGTGCACCTTTGCCAAAAGAACTAAGAAAAAAATTTATTTATTAGACATTTTATTGGAACTGTGCATGTGATTAGCGAGTCAATGTGAAGTAATCTAATAAGAACTTCTAACACAAGGGAGTACTAGACAGAGCTTTAACAAGTGGAAATCAAGCCAGCAACAAGTTCGATTTTGAATTAGATAATTTTCTTTCATTTTTTGATCTCCAAATTTGAAAGGGGCAGTCTTCTATGTCACTTGGAAGGTCAAGGTAGATGAACCAAGCCGTTTCGGGATTGAAAATGGAAGTTGTTAACTCAGCATTTTTCTTTTTTAACAAACAGTTTCGCCATTCATTTGGCAAAACTTTTTTATTTTTAAAATAAATATTTTAATTATAATTACAAATTTTGTAATAATTTGATACGTGTAAAAATCTTCTAAGTTTTATATTTTTTGTGATGAAATTTATTTTAAAAAATAAAAAAAAATTACATTTTACATTTTTAGTAGTAAATTCTTTTTAAAATTTAAAAATAAAAATTTCGTTAACAGTTATAGCAAAACATATAACACGTGGTTAAAATCACTCTAAATAGAAAAATAATTATAAAAAATTTATAATTTAGTAATTTTTTTTTAAAAATTATTATTTAAATAAAAAAGTCTATGTTGAGGATACTATACTTTTTTATTAGTTATAATTGTCAGACTGTAAATTGATCGGTATTAATACTTTGGATAAGTTTACAAAATTGTCATGAAATTTTGAGTAATTAGTTGAAATTCTGTAAAATTGATCTATACAAGTGTTTAGCAATTTGAACAAGAAAAAGATAGAAAAATATTTATCAAATTTTTTTAAAAATTTTTTGACATCTAGTTAAAATTGTGTAATATTAATATATATATTTATCAATATTTCTTGTAGTTATAATATATAAAATATAGTCAACTTCATAAAGGTAAACAAATTTATTTTTATTCATGTCTCAAATTTGCGCATAATAAATTAGTGTAAAAGTTTTGCAAAAATAAATGCAATTATTTAAAAATTATATTAAATAAATTTTCATTTACAACCTTAACGTAATAATTAATTGAGATGGAAATAAAGTAGTCAAGCTAAGCTTTGACTTAAATAAGCTTAGTTTGACTGACAAAAGTTTTGAGGCTTCGCCCAAAGGCCTGTTTATAATATATACATACTTTATTATAACGTAAATATATAAGTCAACATACTTATTCCTAGGTAGGTGAGCAGTCTTCAAATAAGTTAGTGGATTAAATTTTTTACCAACTAATGCAATAATATAATTATATAATGATATTAAAATAAAAGTTATAAATTAATTTTATATTTAAATAGTATGTGTATAAATTTATATAGGTAAATACGTTGGCCATTAAATCTAAAAGACATCTTAAAAGACCTAAACTTTACTTAATTAACTAAATAAAAAATATATTTTTTTTAAAAGCCTTAACCTTATCTTTTTGCTTGGGGACAGGTAAGGCCTTGAATAACTTATTTTCATTCTCAATTACTTCTAAAATTTTAAGCTGCTTCAATCTGTTATCCGAGACACAGATCTATGTTCATCTTTAAATAAAGAAAGCATAAAATAGAAGATACATCATTAAAATTTCTCTGGGAAAATACACACACACTTCGTTTTGCATACTTTTATCTGCCTAGTAATGTCTAAAACCGATGAAAACTACAATTGCATAAATATGCATTTGATATGGTACTTTGGATCATCAGCGCCAACACTTACTTTTGTGAAAGACTTTCGGGTCTTCGTATGAAAGGCCAGCAACTACTAACACTTATCTCATGCCTGCATTGCATAGAAAAAAAATAGTGATTTTAGCCGACAATGATATGATAAACATATATGATATTATCACACACTAAAACGAATCTCTTTCTGCTAAATCTGGAATTACAATCTATCTGAACACACAAAAAATTAGTTGTTATTCACGATTTGTTAGGCTGTTTGTTGTTATTCGTTGGAACAGTTGTTATGCAACGAGTCAACAATTGTGTTGTTAATCAGATTAGTGTACGACAAAAATGTACCAAGCTAGCAAACAAGACCACGCCATAGCTTCTTTTTCTTTATCCACCAACAACAACTAAACACCTTGAACATTTCGATTTGATTTAAAGTCCTTAAAAGCTACGCCATTAAACTTTATCAATTAAAAGACTACAATACCACGCCTTCGTCCCTTTAATATCCGTGACGCAAGGCCAAACTACCCGACAACCTGTGCATACTTTTGGCATCATTCATTGACTTTGTCACTTACCAGAGACACCGCAGATTTCAAGCATATACTTCGCAAGAAACAAATTTGAAAGAGAAACAACCCATTGTTCTGATTAGAATCATACAAAGCATTTCATGAAAATATCTACAAGGTTAGTAGGAAACCATATATGTATGCTAAAAACGTTTGCTTATGATTTATATATCTTAATCAAAGTGCATCTGAGAACATTTACTCTAACCTATCAAGTACTCAGAAAAGTAAAGACATTCAACTTTCAATTGGATTTATAAATTGAAAATACATTACTTTAGTTAATTACTTAATTTCCCCTCTGCAATTAATTGGTTAATTGCATCATCATTCTAAACAAAATACCATATTGGGAAGAGCATGCAATTATTTGATCGATTTTTGTACAATTTCAACATATAAACTCAAAAACATAGATTTTCTATTTTCTATTAGTTTTAACTTCGAGCATACCTGCTATTACTTCTGCTGCTGCTACCGCTGCTGCTACTTGAACTTTTCATGCTTCCACTATTAATACTTGATATACCACTATCACTCTCTCCACCAGAAGCTGAAAGGTTCTTCTTCCACCATTCTTTATCAAGGCTTTTAGTGGATCCATCAGAAACAGATGTTCTAGGAGACACCTTGTTTGGACTATTATTATTCACCGAGAAGTCATAATTCATCTTCTTTTTAGATCCCAAAGAAATTGGAAAGACCATTTTGAGATAGAACCCTCCATTATCAATATTCCCACTTCTCTTCACCTGTTTTTTCTTATCAACCTTTCTATTGTGCATATTTTTGTTGCTCAATTTCTTCTCCCCTCCTTTTCTCTCTTCGCCAACTTCAACCCTTGGGTGTTCCACGAGATCTTTCAAAGAAAGCTCGTAACTTGACTCGGGCATGTTCTTAACCATTTCCATGAGCTCCCTTTGGCCCCTTGCAATGGCTTGAGTCTTCGATGCAGGGGAAAGACATCGATAATAGTTTTTGCGATGATGGGAACTCCTTGGTGGGCTTGTAGCCCATAGAGGAGGTGAACAAATACCAGACTCATCAACCTTCGATCCTGTTCCCAATTGAACTTCCATATCATTGTAGCTATGACAATTCTTGTAGCTCTTAGATTGTTTCTTTGAAGCAAAAAAATCAGAATTTGTGGCTCCCCATGCATCATAACAATGAGTTGTGTGTCCCATTTCATTGGACAACGGAAAAGAAATTGGGGGTTGGTCTCTTCGAGGATCAAGCATGGTTTTCTTTTTGTGTTTTGTTATGGGTGTTTGTGTGAGTTGGTTTGAAGAGGAAGAAAAAATAATTGCGTAGGCTTGTGTTGTGTGTGGTTGGTTTGGAAAGCAGGGGAGGGTGAAGGGGGTAATTTGAATAGCTTCACAATCACAACGTTGTTAGCTTCAAGGGTGATGATGCTGTTCAATTTCTTGGTGACTAAGAATTTTAAAGGGGGAATTGATTAGGGATAGAGAGAGTGAGTGAGAAAGCGTCCTCAAAGTCAAGGGATTCTAGATGGGCCCTTATTCTCTATTCACCCCATTTTTGTCTTTCAATGACCATTGCTTTGTCTTTCAATTTTACTCTTTAGTTTTGTGGAAGAAAACACGCGGTCACCGTGTCTCTCCCTCACTCACTTTTTTTTCCCCAACTTTGTTAAATAGCCAAGACATGACGTACCTTTGCCTCGTGAGTTGGCTATTTCTCTCAAGTTTCCATCAATTACCTATTTATAGGACACAAAATTAGGACTTCAGCATCTTTAAAATAAGAGATTTCTTTTAGAGATTTCTATCAATCACCTATATAGTAAATTATGTCAATATAAATTTTGATTTATTTTATGAAGTAAATATTTTTGTTTAAAGGAGCTAAATTCCAAACTTTAATTGTTATAAGGAAGAGCTACTAACCAGAAAATTTATTGGATTAAGGGTTGGTGCTCTTTTTCACTGGGACTTTGTTGTGTACCTTGTGCTCCTCATTCTGGCTTTTTTGGGCATGATATTCCTTTTATTCTGATGAGTTGTAACAAAGAATTAGAGGAAAGGCTGCCCTTACAAGGATCGGTTTCTTGGAATTATTTGCTTGGGTGTTCCACGTGTCAAAAGCTTGAGATATTGGAGAATGGAGAGGACCTCAAATAATAATTGCAATGGAATCACAGCCCCACATCAGGAGCTGCACTAAGATGTGGAGTGGATCATAAAGCCGTAGTCACAATAATGTTGTCTCTCTTTCATTGCCTTAATAGACAATAATGGTTGCTTTTTCTGTGACGAATCTGTGTTCAGTAATCATTATCACCTCATTAATTTGGTAATAGTGACAAATACTACTACTATTGGATGTTTTCCACGCAATGCACGGTAGTATAGCATTTACCATCATGGAAGTGTAGCTGTAAAGCGAGATGGGAAGTTTAGTGGGTAGCTGTAAAAATCAGTTCTTGTAGTTGTGATACCAGTGTCAATGAAGTTCCTCTACCGAGCAGGATCACCGGCAGACTTCAGCTGAAAAACAAAAAAAATACTACCAAGCTGTTGCATCTAATTGATACAAATCACCTTGTGTATACATTTTTATGTTATTACTTCATGATTAATCTAATAAAGAGTTTGAGTGGCAAATGTTTCGGTAGCTTTAACTAAAGTCTCAATTCGAGTTTATGAATGTGTAAAAAATATCTTAGAGTCAAATTTAAATTAAATCAGATAAAAAATTTTTAAAAAATATTATTTATTATTAGCTAGGGCATCAACTTTATTTTTTTATGTGATTATTTTATTTTGAAATTATAAAAATATGAAATTTTGTTTATTAAAATTACGATTCAAAAATATTTAATTTAAAAATTGTTAATAACATTTTTAATTGTCAAATAATTAATTATAATAAAAAATTACTATTAATAAGATTAAAAAAATAATTTTTTACTTTAAAAAATATTGTGACTACTAAAATTGTCATCGGTAACTCTTACATAGAAAAAGTTTCCCTAAGTTTGAAAAGTGGCCAATAACATCTTTTAAAGGTTTAAAATAATTAAAAAATTATCAATTCACTAAAAAATTGATCAACATTGTTTAAAAAGAAATATTGTCATTGACATATTGCTAAACATATAAATATTGCATTCCTCATTTGTAACAAATTACAAGAGAAGGCTTTTAGAAGTAGGCTTAATTCATTCATGAAAAAAAAAATATGATTTTGTCAATATTAATATACCTGAAATTCTTACAAACACTCATAAATGTATGACATTTAGGTGAAAATAATCAATATATGTATATATGGCAAATAATATATCATTTGGAAAACTGAAGTACTTGTTTAGTCAATATGTTAAAGTAATGTTTCCAAAAATAGTGAAAAATATTGCGTATAAGTGTCTAATATCAATATTTGGTAATTTCATGCAATATCAAACATTTCTAATAATAAATGATAATGGTATTTAACAAATGTTTTAGATACATCAACAGCATTGTCCTCCAACTCTTGCTATTATGTTGTATATTGATTTCAAAGAAGTTTCAGTAGGCATTTATCAAGATAATAAGGAGGAAGCATATGCAACACTATGCTCGACAAAGAGGTAAAAAGGGAATAGAACAACATTAAAAGTAATGACAATGATTTTGGAGGAAAATATGGAAGCAATAAAGAAAGTAAAGATGAGAATGTGCATGATGATGTTAATGATGATGAGCCTCATTTGTCAAACACAATGTAGATGGAAAATTGCATGTTGAAAAACAATTCAATGATAAAGAAATTGTTATGCAAACAATTAAGCATTACATTATATTAAAAGGAGTGAACTACAGAGGGTTTGAGTTAGAATTAAATACATTTTATTATAAATGCGTGAGATATAAAATAGATTATTTATGGCTTCTTCGATCTACTTTTGGAAAGAACAAGTATATTTGAGAGATTAGAAAGTATAATGGCCTGCACACTTGTACAATGGGTAGGATTTCTTAGGATCATAGGAAGTTAAATTTAAACACAATTGTAGAATGTTCATGCTAATGGTAGAGTCTGACCCTTCTTTTAAGATGAAATTTGTGATTGATGAGATTTAGTCTCCGTATAGATACACAACAACGTAATAGAAAGCATAGATGAGAAAGCAAAAGGCAATTGAAAAAAATTTTGGTAAGTAAAAAGCCTTATTTGAAGCTTTGCCACAATGTGTAGTAATGTGTGACACTGTTTGAGGATTCATTGTTCAATTGAATCATGCAAAAGCTTACCGTAATGATGAGTTAGTTCCTAATGCTCAAATATTATATCAAGTGTTTTTAGAGCTTTGGTCCCTATATTAGAGCATTTATATATTGCAAACTATTTGTGCAGTTCATGAAACACATTTGTATGGAAAATACAAAATAATTCTATTAGTGGTCGTTACACATGATGGTAATCAAAATATATTGTTGATTGTTTTGCTACTGTTAAGGGTGAGACTACGGATAATAGTGTGTATCATGCCAATATTCATCAGAAGGAATAATTATAGCCAATTTATTGCATATAATGTGTACCATGCATGTCTAATATTTAGAAGGATAATAGTTGTCAGTTGGCAACCCTTATAAGACACATTGATACTAATACTCCTACATTATTACTTGACCATCATGAATGAGTCTTTAATTCTTTAGTTCTGCTAATCCTCATAAGTCTTTGTTATTAACTCTTATAAGACTTTTGGGTAGGAGAAGAATAGGTTAAGCATATTGAAATTGACAAATTACACAGTCAATTGTGTCACCCTATAACTTCAAAATAAATCAAAGGATTAATAGTTAAACACACAATTCATTCTCTTATCACATTATCTACAATTACAACATCAATATCATTATCCTTATATGGACACAGAAATTGCAATTAATAACCAAATATTAGTGTTATATACAAAAAAATAATAATGCTTTATAGACAGAAATTTAACATATTTAACAACACATCAATAATTTATCTTCTGAACACCCATATGATCCAAAACCAATTTGATAGTCCTAAGATCCCTAAAGGGAGGGTTCGTTGGATATCGCAACTATCTCCATTCGAGAGCAAGTGAGAATACTATTGGTTTACCAGGGATTAAAGTCAACTATGTTAGTCGATGCTATGCCTATACCTGTAGCAGTATATGCAGGTACAACTTTCTCTAGCATCATGACATGAACCATAATCTAAGCCACTATTAAGAAAGGAAAAACATGTTGAACCTTAATTATAATTTCCAATCACATAATTGCTTTTATTCGACATTAAAACATATCATAACAAAGAAAGTATATATACTCGCGCATGTTATGCTATCCTAATGTCATAATTTACAAAAAGTCAACCAATGTATTGTACTAGTCACTTTAATCTAATTTATGATCCTTCAATATTGTTTATTGTTGATCAACTGTCTAATAACTCATCACACATATATCTTGAACAATTGTGGAATAAAGGTTAGTAAAATCAATCAAGAGTAGATCATTAATCTAAAGTGTGTGTATCTCAGAGTTCTAACATTTCACAAGTATATTAACAAGATGATTATTTATTTGCATTTGATAAATTTAAGTAACCCAGTCAAAGACAACATGTTGTAAAATGTTATTTATTTCTAAAATGTTATTTATTTCTTACTTAAGTGGCATGATTGATAAGTAATGATAGCATAATTGTCTTATGACAAATAAAAAATTGTTGTTAGTGACAAAAAATCAATTTCACAAAAATATTTATCAATTTCACAAATAATAATTATAAATATTTGATAAATTATTAAATTAATCTAAATGTATTATAATCTATTACAATTAGTAACTAATTATATCAAAATAAAAACATTTTTGTTATGTTTTTTAAGTTATAAAATTTTTAGAGAAATGTTAATAAATGTCAAAAACACTAATTACAAAAATTTTAAAAATTAAATAAATTAAACTAAATATATTATAAGCAAACTTAATTAATTCATAAATTTTAATAAAATGATTTCTACTCATAAATCATGTTGGATTTCGCTGCACCTTGAAATCATATTTATAATCTTAAAGGTTACTAATGGCAATTTTTTGGAGCACATATTTGTGTGCCTAACTTCTACGGTGAAAATAGTAGAGATTTTTGACTCAAAAGGTCGTTAATGGTAATTTTTTAAAATGACACAGAGATTTTTCCTCACGTAACATGCTACAATGAAGCTTTAGAGTTAAAGGTAAATTTTTCTGATTAAAGATTCTTAGTAACAACTTTTTAAGGCATCTAGGTCATGTTAATAAAACTTTAGATTGCATCAATCAACTCCTAAAATTTCTACAATTTGTTCATGTTCGCATGTCAAAAATTGTCAATGACAAATTTAAGAGCTCTAAAATGACCTCCAAATCGCGTTAATCAATTCTTGAAACTTCTGCTTTTGTTTCTATTCATAAATAAAAAGAAATACTAATAACATTTTTACAATGTCCATAAAGTTATACAAAAATAAATAAATAAAAGCTTCAAAAATAAATAATATATCCCAAAAAATAATTATCATTCAAAATTTATAAATATATACTCTTGTTATTATCATTA